TCATTACATCATCCTGTATCCTTCCAATAGTAGTGCAATCTTATATCTCTTGCCATTTGTTATATTTGTGTTCTAATTGCTTTCTTGATAGATCTTATATGGACTTCTCTTGGCAACTTGTTTTTCATTGCATATCTTATAAAGAGTCGAAACCCTCCATCTGTTCCTTCCATCAACTTCCCTTTGGTTTTCACCAATGCTTCTGCCAAATTTTCTCTCATTACTTCTGCCAATTTTCTCTTTTCTTCTTCTATGAAAGTTCTAGTAAAGTTCCAATCTGTCAATCTCCCATTTCAATATTCCACTCCTGTCTTTTCCAACCATGCTCAATCTGCTGTCAATATCACCAATTTTCTTGTCTCTTTATTTATCCTTTTCTTCAATTTTTTGAACTATATCCTCAAATTTCATTATAATTTGGTAAATATTCTCAATTTTTCATCTATTTTTCTGTTCTTTGTTCAATATTTTCCATTCTCTTTTCAATACTCTCTGTTCTTATTTGTAATTTTTTAATTTCTTGCATAATCATTTGTAATGTTACTTCCTTTTCTTTTTCATGTTGCGCCATTCCTCCAGATAGTAAACGCTGCCACTATATCATGCAAAGCTTTTTTATTAAATTCCAAGTAAGTTCACTGTATTCTTTCAAGTCAAGGCTTTCTTTTCATTCCAATCCAGCTACTGATAGCACTCCAGTGGAGCACCTGTATAAACAGTCCGTGCTCTTTTCGCTATCATTTTCAATAAACAAGCTCAGAAACCTTGAAATGTAGATCAAATGTTCAAAGAAAACAAGAAAAACAATGTTTCCAAGCCTCCAAGCAGCAGTGTTACTTCTTTTCCTCTGCTTTTCCTCCCCTCTTTATATTCCAAACTTAAGAAAAAAAGTTCTTAGGGAAAAAAAATTCAATAGAGCGTTGAAAAGAGAAAAAAAGGGAAAGTCTTAATCAATAAGTATTAAAAAAAAGCAAAATAGAAGAAGAAAATAAAAAACGGTCCAGTTTAAAAAGTAAAAAGTATTTGTAAAAATGCTTTAAATAAANTGAGCAGGGGGTTGGACTAGATGACCTCCAAGACCCCTTCCAACTCTGTTACTGTTAAAATGTTACATACCTGGAAATAAATTACAACAGCAAAGACAAAGATGGTGGAAATCAAGTTCATAAGGTTGGGGAGATTCTGCCGATAGAAGGCTTCCCTGAGAGCTCTAACTTTGTCTGTGCGAGTAGCCAGCAGATGGAACAGGGCAATGATGGCGCCTTCAAACTCCATGCCTTTTAATGAACAGGTGAAGAAATTATTAACTACTATAGGAAAAGCTGTTGATGCTTTAAAGTCCTTGCCTTTAAAAGTTGGCAGTTTAGAATATTCTGTATTCTCCAATTACTCCTAACATTGATTCATTCTCTAAAAATGAGATTAAACCCCAACACTTCCTTCTTCTTAGTCATGTGACTACTACTATTAATGTAAATCGCACTGTGAAACTAACAACTGCCATTTATTAAATTTAATTTATAATATCAGATTACAAGGACAGTAAGAAATAAGCTAAAACTGATAAAACAAACAGAAATAGGTTAAGAAATTAATATATAAAAGAGAAAGTAAATAAAATGGTAACAATTTTAACAACAATAATAAAAAGCAACCAAAGGCCTATAAAGCTACATTAATCGTCTACTAATTCTAATCATATGGAAATAAATGGACTCTCTGTGAAGGACTGAAAAAGAACTATAAACATATTTGGAGATAAATTCCCTAATTGAAGGGAATGTTTCTCCAGCATTCCTGATCCACACAAAATTGGTTTGCTGCATACTGCTAACAATTTTCTGAAAAAACAATCTGGTTGTTTTAAAATTAAAACAGCATACAACAATATAGTGTGCATATTTTGATCCACTGTGGTTTGCATGGTTTGAGGATTCTATGTGAACTAGGTCACAATTACCTTTTCAATAAATTACAATTAAAACAAACTATAGCTTTATCTGATATATTAAGTCTGCAATATATGCATTACCAAATCTTAGTCTCATCTGCACAAGTGCTGGGGAAATACCTTTGAAAAAACCACTCATGCTGAAGTGTAATATACAAAGTAGTCAATAAGGAGTCAACATTATTAGCACTACGCTATGTCTGCTCAACAGAATGGAGTTTCCTTACATGCAAATACAAATATAAAACCCAAGTTTGCATTATAATGTATTTCCTGTTTCTGGGCTATTTTTTTTAATCTTTCCATAAGCACCTTTAAACATCAACAGTACAAATTATAAGATGAATTGTTCAGGACCTTCACAGAACTAGGCATTGGATTTAAACTGCAGAAAACAATGCTTTGCTGCTTGGTTTTCCATCCACTCATTTAAAACTCCCTGGGTTTCCTTTAACTATTAGTACTGCTGATAATGAGAGATACAAGTTTCCCACTCAGCCAATTCTTGCATGAATTGCCAACAAGTTAAATTTACCACTACACACACATTTTCACAGAGATATCCAGGGTTCCAGGTAGCCATGTTTCCTTAAAGATAACATAACACATAAAAACTCAAGCAAACCAGTACTCTGGTTCCTTATCCTTATTAACTTGCAATTTTTCTTTTTCAGATGATACTCAACATACTGTGCCACTGGATACTGGACAAATAGGAAAAGCTTAGGTTTTTTTTTCTTGCTTACTTCCAAGGCATTGATATATGTCTCTTCAGAGAATGATTACCTCGGCCAGTGTTCACTGTAGTTGGGCTGAATGCCTTCCATACAATTGTCTCACAGATATTAGTAGCAATGAAGAGAGAAATGCCAGAGCCAAGACCATAGCCTTTTTGCAGAAGTTCGTCCAACAGAAGGACTATCAAACCAGCAACAAAAAGCTACAAGGAGAAATGTATAAGATATCAATCACTTCAATTAAAAATTTACTAATTAAAAACAATACAGAAACAATTAAATAGGCACAACAATTTCTATAAATACTTGGCTGTGGAGATCACTTTTTAAGGAGAGCAGCCTTTTTGGCTATTATGTTTCTGTGTCAGCTTCAACCAAGTTGATTAAGTCTCTTACCTTCTCAATAGTGATACTGGAAGGGTAAGCATATAGTTGAAAAATGGGTAAATCTTAGCTCTTTGGTTGTGACATTAATACACCCAGAAGTAAGAACCTTCCCTAGTAAATTTCCTGCCTAAGAAGGAAGCTTCCAGATGATTGTCAAGAGCATTTAACATTTTTGCAGAGAAAGGGCTAGGTTAAGCAAGTTTGCAAAAGAGCCCAATTTCAATCTTTTAAATATCTACAGATCCTAGGTCTACATCCAGAAGAGTTTTAATAATTTAAAAGTTACCTGAATGGTGATAAGGAGACAGATTCCTGCTCCCATCTCTGATGGGTCTCCATACATCCCAGTCATTACATAAACAATAGATTGTCCAATAGTAATAATCATGCCAAACACTGAAAAGAATTACAGGAGAAAAAAGTGAATGTAATTTAACATTCCAAATTTCTTGAGAGGTCAATTTATATTGTCCACTGTCTATTAGCTGCATGAACTAGAACACGGGGGTCAAACTTGCTGCGTTAAGTTGCCATCACGAGATGTTTCACAGTGTTTTTCTTTTTTGCGGAGCTATGGTGGGCAGGGCTCACGCATGATTCATCTGGCCAGGAGGCCACCAGTTTGATACCCCTGGACTAGAATAAAAATTGTTTAAAATTTCCTGTTCCTTACATTTCTGTGCCCCATTGAAGAGAGCTCTGTCTTTTGGCGTATCCCCAACTTCAATTATTTTGGCACCAGCCAGTAACTGCATGATGAGACCAGATGTGACAATGGGAGAAATGCCTAGTTCCATCAGTGTACCTGTTGGAAATCAAAAATAGAATGAAAGACCTACCAATCCTCTCCTGCTCAGCCCTACACAGATAACTGGCCATTTCAAGACATTACAAAGATAAAGATTTAAATTTGCAATGGAACTCCATTCTTTGCCAATTTGCAAAAAAATGATCATTCTGTTATATTATCAAATTAGAAGAACCTGCTTTCGCAAGACAACTGAATTATTACAGTTCATTTAGCAGAATGAGCAAGCCTCATTCTTTAGAAACAACATTTTCCAACCTATTGAAGCATAATAATTTGACAGAGCTTTTTAAACATACAGAAAATGCTGGTTGTAAAGATTTTGCACGTAAGCTATTATTTCCAGGCAAATCAAAATTTAGAAGCATAAATTAAAAGAATTCTGAACTTTTGGAATTTGAATCATGCTTTTTATCTTTGTCCCTGTGTAGGAACTTGCATTGCCAACTAATAACAAAAAGTGGGAATACAAATTTAAAGAATAAATAAAATGTTTAAGATGATATACAGTATATAACACAAAAATAAAGTTGTTTAAATGACCTGCAGAACAGAGTTAAAATATATGAACTAGTATTATACTAACCTTATCAACTTTCCCTCTATGCATGTTTCAAACTGCAGAGGAGAGTTTTACCAGATTATGTGAGCTAAAAGGTGCTGGTTTTCAGCAGTTTATTAAATTAAAGGCAGAGGGAAAAAGGAAAACATGGCCTCTTTTAGCTCTGCTAAGACACCAGTAACTTTTTTTAATTTACATTTTATTTTTAGACAAAGACATAAAACATAAAACCATATTCCATTACATACAGTGTGTCGATTGGTTACAAGGTTTTTGTGCCTCCTTTCCATAGTCATCACTTGCAATTTATATAAATCACATATCAAATTGAATGTTTGTATACATTATTATAATTATACCTCATTTGTTTGACTATCACTATTATTCCTTCATTTTAAATGAGATATACTAAATAATGGGTTCATTTATATTATAACAACCCATTACATCATCTTCAATCTATCCAATAATAATAATATGTATTTATGTTATATTCAGTATCATTCTATTATTTTTGTATTGATAACATTCTCTAGTATCTTTCATTTCCATGTTTTTTTTATCTAACCATTGATAAAATAAATCCCATATCTTATAAAATTGTTTATCTTCTTGTTCTCTAATTTCAAATGTCAATTTACTCATTTCAGCATATTCCATTATTTTATGAATAACTTCCTCCTGCGTTTGGACATTTTTTTTTCCTGTTGTTAAGTGAGATATTATTTTCTTTTTAAATTTTTTTAATTTTAAACACGTAAACAAAACAAAAAAACATAGATTAAAACAACAGGCGAACGAAGAGTTCATCATCCAGCAGTTCCATATTGGTGTGCCTTTACAATTAATGAGC